GCTTGGGGGTTATTTTAGATAGTTCCGTGACAGGCCCATAAGACGGGAAAGCAAAATGGGTCTTAAGAGAGCCCCCGCGCTGCCGTTTAACGGCTCGTTCGCGCCCAGGGACAGCCAAAGACAATGGGAAAAACTTTAGTCATATTTATTTATATGGTTAGAGTCGTCGTAGGACCTGACCTGCTGTTGCTAGGAGTCACTATTTACAAGAGCCTGGACAACATCTAGTTTATATATACTACATTCATCATTTTATTTCAATTTTGAAGCGTCAATTCTTAGGATGAGAAACCAGGGGGCACTGATTATCACTTAAAGTTGCATAAAGGAGTAGAAAAACAAAACAAAACAAAACAAAAAACAACCAAACAAAAACTCCCTACCACTGGAACTGATGGGGGAGAAACAGCGTTGGAAGTTCAAGCTGAGGGGGCTCCAAGGGGATCAGTAATACAGAGGGCAAAGGACATCTTGCAGAAGAGCAACGGGCGGGACAACAGTTTTATTAATTGCTGGATAAATTTAAAACACTGTGTGTACAGGCTGTAATCCTCCCTAAACCCTGCAGTAACCTTATCGTTCATCCCTCCTAGCGGTTCATAAGCCAGGCTCCTGGAAGCGAGTCATAAAGAGATTGCGGCCGAGTTTGAAAGTTGAGCAGGACAGTCAAGGACATTTACAAAGTTTCTACTTTGGAGAAACATCAACACAGGCAGGGAAGAAAACAGATAAAGCAACTAGCAGGCACACAAATACTAGAAATATATAAAATAAAGCTCAGCTGTTGAAATCAAAGCACTTGGCCACTCCATTGGAAATATGACTCATTTACACTGAGCATGTAACAGCATCCATTAGTAAAAAGTGTGACTGGAATTAGGATATCTAAGAATACATGTTCAGCATAAAGGAAAATAATGTAACACACCAAATTAAGTAGAAACAAATACAGTAGAAGCTACAAACAACTGGCACGATTTGGCAGTTACTGAAAGTGGTTATTCTGGGCTCTGTCAGAACAGCAGAAAAAAAAACAGCAGAAAATTTTCCCCTAGAAAACTTTCCCTTACTTATAAAGTATACGTATATATAAAGACTTCTCTTTCAAAATATTTTACACCATTTTTTTGTTATATTGCAGTAGTTGAGGCACATCTGACAAACTATAGGGTCTTGTACAAACCTTCAACGCAGGGAAACCGCAATAAAAAAAACATGGCTTCTTAGGAAGAACTCTATTTTTCTTTTTCTCCCTGGTAAGAGTTAGAACCACAGTAAGGAAAAGAGATAAGATAAATTCTGGAAAAACCTAACTCTTCACAAATTACATAACATCATTGTTGTCATTTACCATACAAAAGGTGGCATGGTTCCATAAAATATGAACTAACTTCTTGATTAAAAAAAAAAATTGCTTCTGCAGACATTGTCTTTCACAGCCCTATCCCTGCAAGCTGTGCGCTGCCAGCAAGTGCTCCACAGTGCCCCAGTACCTCTCTTGCTCTTTAGGAAACCAAAGCTAAATTCCTCAAAAATACAATATACGTTTGTTTCCTGTGTCTCAAGCCAAAGCCGGCAGTTCATGTCAACGTGTTGATCCAGAGCAATCCTTTCCCTGTGCTGACACGTGAAAGACAAGGCTTTAAAAAGTCAGTACTGTTTCTTCAAGGTGTTGTAAATGTATTATTCGATCACTGAAGAAAGCACCAACTCTATTTGAAATCTAACAAGTCACTGCAAACCCTCCACAGCGAGGAAAGCCCCAGAATGCAACACGTGGCTGAAAAAATGCGATGTGCATGTACATTCAGCATGGCACATGACATTGCAAAAGCAAAGCTCTGAGAATGGACATATGAATCCCAGGAGCTCCTTGATTAAGAAGCTGTCATGAAAAAATAGCCTAATATAGAACCAGCATATTAATAAAGACCTTTTAAAATAAGTTTATTAGTCAATCACAATTATAAAATTTAAATATCTGTACAGCAAGATGGAAAATTCTTAAAGCAACCCAAGGCTCAAAGTTATTTTTTGCTGCAGTATACACAGGAATGGTTTCTTTTATGAGTTGATCCAGTATCACCCTTCAGTTACTGAGCAACTTCTTGAGGATATACTGAGTTTTAACAATAAGTGTCACACTTGCAAGAGCAATATGAAAAAAAAAAAATCAAGACCACAATAATCTGATATCAAAACAGCAATGACAGGCACTTTGAAGTCAGCTACTCCGTAGGTAGCTCACGCTTAATACTGGTAGTATTGCTATAGTCAGGCAGTATAGATTAAATTGTTCCTTTGCTGCACAAGCACAAATAACATGTTCCAAATATTGTGGTTTGTTCTGCAAAACATGCAATAAAGCCCCCAATTTTGAAAAATCTTCTGTAGGGAAGAAGAAACCAAAGCAGCCAGAAATGGAAGTATTTGCAAACATGAGAATAAGGCCTTCTAGAGTTTATACTTAAAGTAACGTTATGTTAAACCCCTTCATTCTCAGGTACTAGGTTAAGAGGCCGAGACACACATCGTCTGCGAGGGTGTGGATACTGAAGGCTGGCAGGGTCAGCATCGCAAGAGGGCTCTATCAGAGGAGGAGGAGGAAGGAGCTGGGCATGGCTGGACCATCTTGATCCAGCCCGTGGGGAATCCAGAGGGGGAAAGAAATACCTGAAACAGTTAAGACAGGAACAAAACACCAAAACAAAAACAACAAAACAAAAAAAAAGAAGAAAAAAGAGAAAGGTAGTAAATACAAGGAGAACCAAAGGGGAGAAAAGACATGCTGGAAAAAAAATAAAATAAAATACTTTAGTATATCCATGCCAAAACCAATAGAACATAATAGCAGAAATCAAGGCTGTAATTCAAAACAAGACAAATCTGGATGCTGTCCTCTAAATAAAAAAGTGCGGTCTTTTCCACTGGAGTTCATAGAAAGGAATATTGTAAAAATAATCCTGGCATACATTTTCCCAAGAATTGGAAATTGAAGAGATTCTGTAGCACAACTAGCACCCTGCTTTCCCTCTCCCAGAATTCCTGTGATCTGTTAACAGAGTTTTTAGTAACGCTTCATTTGCAACAAATGGTGCAACAAAAGTTGCATTAAATATTATGCAAGTACATGTTCTGCATATGCATCTAATTCAGATTAAGTTCACAGCACTTCTAGAATAGACATAAAAAACATCATTTTGTTTTTACAATACTTTAAATTTAATAATATACATTTACAGAGAATAACTACCTCCAATGAAATACAGTCTTTGTATGTATTCACATTTTTCTGCAAAATCCTCAGAGAATTTTTTTTTTCCTGGTAAATGCACGGCTCAGAATTATGCCATTTCATATCTTTTTCCTGCCATTTTTATTGGATCTCACCCGTAATATTAGTGCCTTTTAGTATAGTTTTTAGGTACTTAAAGGTTTCTCTGTCTTGTTTACAGTTCTGTGGACTTACAGAAAAGAACACTATGAGACTACTTATGGGACAACCCACATCAAGCTGCATTTTAGCTTTCAATTTTTGTATGGCTCAAACACATGCATTTTTTAAGATATTGTGCTCAGAATTTTAGTTGCTCCATAGAACCATTTTCACAGGAATATACAAATACATATCAGAAAGAGTACTCTTAGTTAGGATGAAAAAAATATGACAGTACTTACAAAACATTTATTTGAAGTTGTACTAAGTTATAAATGAAGCAATACCAAACTATTAAAAGCTACCATCTGTACAATTATCAAAGCACACTGTTTTCTTATCCCTTTAAGACTACAGCTTCATATATTACAGAGCAGTTACAGAGGTGTGACGTATGGGTACCTTAATCAGATATTAAACACTTTGAAATATAAAACAATCAGCTATAGAAACAATTTCAAGTAAAACTATTTTAATGGTCACTTCCCTCCTCCCATCTCAATCAAGGACCAAAAAAAAAAATCACTTTTAATCATGAACTAATAATGCTTTGATTTAATTTTAATTTAACTTTCCAAAAAAAATGTTTTGATGGATTTTTTTTTCCACAGGAGCCTCTCTAGTTATTTTTCTACCAGAAATTCCAACAGTATCAAACTGTGTTGGCTAGTACAAAAAAAAGTATATAATATGTTTTAGAAAGGCCTTTGGAATTGCGTTTGGTAGTGAGCTGGCTGCTGGTGTCTTGGGAGAGGTCAAACGGCGTTGGGGAGGGGAAAAAGGAGCTCGCTTTCCATTCCTGTGTGCATGCAACAAGCAGCAAAACACCAAAGTTACTCCAGTTAGCTTGGTATCAGCTCTGCTTTCTGTTAAAAAGGACATAATACAAATGGAGAAGGGAAATTGTATCACAGATCTAGACACACATGATTATCAGCACAACAACACAGCACTACTGACTCTTTTCCCCCCCAGTCTACATTGTCAATCATCCTAAAACCAGTTTAATGTGTTAAAATGCATCTAACAAAACTTTTTGAAAGGCTGAAATCTAGCAATGCTTCTGCTGTTTTAAGTGTTTAAATGGATGAACACTGAAACATAACATATACAGCCACAGACAAAATAAATTCCATGTATCATACCAAGTTGGACAAGTGTCAGTACATAAATCTGCATTAAAAATGTTAATTCGTTAAAAAAAAGTTAGCAGCAATGTTTACACAATTCAAGCCAATGAGATTACAAAAGAAAAGCAGTAAAATGCATCCTTTCTACAGCAAAGTTCTACCCTAAGACCAAAAAAAATTATATATTACTTATATATTATATATATATATTTTCTGAAATTCCACAGCCACACACAACTCAAAAAAAAAAAAAAAAAGAACTCTACATTGGAGCAGAGCAATAAAAACAACAGCTTTCAAAATACAGAATAATAGCTGGAGCCTAAAATAATTTTTGCCTATGGGAAATTAAAGCAAGTTTCAGTTTCACAATGGCCAGTACTGACGTAGGGGAGTGGACGTAAGCACCCACTAGAGCAAGGCTGTCTCCTTGGTTGGCAGCAGCTCCGTTTTAGATGCAGAGGTGTGAAATGGTCTTTATCTCTCTATAAGAGCAAGGCAAGCACAGTCAGAGGGCTATGGACATCACACTTCCAAGACAGGACTGTGTTTCAGCACTGCTGCTGCAACATAAGCAGCCCCTCCTGGAAAAAGACGACTAATAATGTTTTGGTCTTCATTCTTGCTGGGACCCCCACCTTGCTGGGACCTCTTCTGCTCCTATGTATCTTATGAGGAAAAATGGGAGTCTCTCCCTGTTCAACAGGACTTGGGGGCTAGAAGCCAGAACTGACATTCAAGAGTCATTGCCAAAGGAAAAAGAAACCAGATGTACCCAGACTCCCCAAAAGCAAAATGGCACAGTACTCCACAGATAATATTTTAAATTGGAAGTCCCATCAGCAGTTGTATATGGAAATGGAGGCAATTGCATTGAACTAGGAAAAGTAACCATGGTCACAGAACTTGCTCAGAAGTTGCTGCCTTGGAATGTGGTCCCATCGAGTCTTTGTACAAGACATATCTGTGGAGTGACTACACACATTCCATGCACAATGTGAGTTTTAAGAGTTTAGTGAGAGTATTTCTAGATTTCAGTGCGGACAAATGATTCAAATGATTTATTTTTGTTCACGCAGTTAAGATTACCTACTAAACACGAACTATTACAAAAGAAAAGCATAGTTGAGACAAAAAAGTTTGCAAAAAGAACTCCATATGAATGAACAAGATTAACAAAAAAAAAAGTAAAGCTTTTATTCCATTGATGTTACACCTGCAAAAATGCAAGTAAAATAAACTAAGGCTAGTAAGCAATTATTAAACTACACACTATGAAATATCCTTCCCCAGTTTCTTTTTGCTGAATCAGCCCAATCGAAAATGGAAATAGCGGCTGGTGCTCACACTTAACTTATAAACATTTATCTCAGAGGGTAGCATTATTCAGTGGCATGAAGTTTCCCCTTGTTTGAAACTACTTCAAAAAAACTAAATAATGTGAAAGGAATAAAGTAAAAGCAATTGTTTGAATTACTTATTTAAACAAAATGACTCAGTGTAGGTTATTGCTTTCTTATTTTTCCTCTAAACACCAGTATAACATCCACCACCTTAGAGCAAATCCAGCATAGCCTGGATAAGCACTAGAGCAACAAATAACAACGCACTTAAAATGACAGGCAAGATTATTAAGCCAAGACTTAACAAGATTCAGAGAACAGTATTTTCTGAAATCCACTTTCTGCACTAATGAGCCTACCTGCCAGCAGATGATCCATTTAGGGAGTTTTGCAGGCTCGTATTCGCCGAACCTAGAGAGGCATTAAAAACTCCCTGCTGAGAGCTACCATTGACTGGACTGCCGTTACCTTTCAGTATACCAGTGCACTTCCAGTTGTCCATATAATTTGCTGAAAACACATATACAAATGACAAAAAGTTAATTTCCCGAGGATCTGCTTTTAAAACAATTGTATTTCAATGGTCACAGCTAGTGTGAATCAGGATTATATTTATATAATACATATAAATACATACATAAATTGAAATAGTTGAAAATTTGGCCTTCTAGCTGCCTGACAGCCTCTGCCTACCTATTATTTAAACCTCAGTTCTGTGCAACAGCAAGAATGAATTAATTTTATCCTTATTAAAACGCTAATCAAGAACAAATGAAAATGGCTAACGAAAAATGCCACTGATTTTTGTTGCTGCTTTGAAATTTTTAAACAAGAAAATAAAAAAAAAAAGTTTGCATGAATGCTACTGGTGAGTAAAAAATTTTTTGGTTTTGGCATTAGTCAAAGACAGCAAAGCTATACATGTCTTAATTTAAACAATTTTCTATCAATTTTAATCCAGTGAGAAAAAAAAAAAGGTATATTAGTTATTACAAGAACAACTATTCACAGCAGCTAAATCACACAACAAAATAAGTGTTTAAGCACAAAAAAATTATTTTCTTCTCAAAATGCAGAGGAATTTTTAAATCTACTATTCAGGAAATAAAAAGAACCTAAGACTCCAATAATGATTTAAGCTTTCTTAAGTCTATTTTTAGCACACCTCAGAGCTAACCGTACTGCAAGTGCACGACTTCTGGAGTTCTTACCCTTCCATAGCCGAACGCAGCCATCGTCACCGGAGGAGGCGAGCACTGTGCCTGTAATATTCCAGCTCACTCGCCACACCTGGGAGTTGTGGTTATCAAACTGAGCCGCAATATGAATTTCAAATTTTGTTAGTCCTCCAGAAGAAGTCAATTCTTTCCTGTTCAAGAGGAAGTGACAGTATTACACACAAGTGTTCCAAGGTCCGTCTTGAACATGCAAACAAAAGGACTCCCTACAAAAATTCCTCCTTCAAGGAGTTTATGCAATAATTATTACTACATTAGGAATGTTAAAGAGACATCTGGACAAAACTATTCTTTTGTCTTGTCATCTTAAAAATCAGGCTCCTAAAAACAATTCTGCATAGATTACAGGATTTAGATAGGTACAAGTATTTTCCTTGCTTCCCAGATTTGTTTTCCCCTTGCTTCTAAAAGACTATATAGCATGCATCATATCATACTGAACTCTATTCTTTTAAAGCTCACCTTAGCGGTTTGAGCGTGAAAATCCGCACATCTTTGGTTGCCACAGCTAAGATGTGAAAGGATCTTCCCAGATTTGGAGCAAATGCAATATCATGTACAGGATCTGTGACTGTCATAAGAGATTCTGCTTTTGCATATTTTCTGTAGAAAAGCAGATAAGTTAAACTTAAATGCCATGCAAGCTGCCAGTGATGCAGTTTAAATGAGCCACCCATAAGGAAATAGGGACAGACGGATTACCGATGAGACTTGCAAAAATAAGAACACTTTCCTAACACTAAATTGAAAGAAGTAAGTAACAATTAGAAAGAGATTTCTTTAGAAATTTAATGCATCAGATATATGACAATAGCTACTAACAGTGGGCTAAATCATACAAACGAGTAAGGCTTCTGGTAGAAAGAACATATTTCTGCGAGCTGGAAAAGGGAAATAAAGGAAATTTATAACAACTTATCCAGTTTTCCAAATTTTTAAGCAGACCACTATCTGCCTACTTTGCTATAGGATAAACATGCATTCCATTATATTCTCATCGTTGGTATAACAAGGTAAGTTACACCAACTTTTCTTTACTGTGGATGCACAGAAATCATCATCTGTAGCAAAGCATAAATCTACAAAACATCTCTTCTCCATTCACACAGTAGTCGTTCTAAGTGAAACAGAAGCTCTTTGCCATTATGAACTTAGAAGTCGTTGTGCATATGTTTCTTGGCACATTTGCTACTGAATTCTTAACTCTACAATCTGAACCATGTAAGTTCTACAGCATGTTAATAATTCGGAGAACTTGCTAACATTTTCTCTTTAACACTGTACGGTTACATTTTTGAGTATCTTTAAGGCAGCCTTTAAAAAACAGTGCCTACAGCAGGGCAACTCAAATTTCAATTACAGTCCTATTAGTTCCTTGTGCTAATTTAAATTTGTATATTATAAGAAGGAAAAACAACAATTCCCACTTTAAAACCTTGCTAAAAACATTGGCATTTACACACTGAGGGGAAAAAAAAAAAAACACAACGTCCATTTCCGCTAGTGTATATGCTGATGTCCCTTGTCCCTTTTCCCATTTTGTGGTGTAGGAACATCAGCTACCAATTACTTTGGGCATTTTTACCACGACAAACTCTCCAGGAACAACGCTGAGGAGCAAGTCATTTACCACTCTTCTCCACATGTAATGATGGAGATAAAATAAAAGGACACATGCTAAAAACTATTCTAAAATGTACAAATGTTATACTAGTTAATTGTTTTGCATACCTGGTATTTTCGTTATATTCATAAATTTGAACTTTAGCCAATATATTTGGACTGTTGTCATCACTTCCTACAGCTATCATTGGCGAATGAGCTCGAGAGCTAAAAGGGAAAAATAAGTATTTTATATTTATACATCATTTCACAGAATGTAAGCAAAAAAGTACTGAAAAAATGAAAGATTTCACGTACAAATCTATAAAGAAAAAAGACCTCACTAAAATATTGATAAGTGCCATTCAGTTATCTGTGCAATCTCAATTCTGTTGTCTTAAATGCTCAACTCATACACTAAACTAAATGCAGACAAATTAGAGAAACATTATTTGGCAGTCTAAGACCACGATAATGTATTAATCCAGAGAACAGAATTTAATTTACGTAGTCATCTGCAGTCAAGATTTCCCTATATATTACATAGCAGAGCCTGCATCCTATCTGCAACTATTCCTTATTGATTTAGCAAACTTTCATTCAGGTTTCAGAAGAAAAATTACATTTACAGGGTATACATACATGAATTCTAATGTTATCCATTTTAACATTACCCAGTACATCAAAGAGAAATGCTGCATTTTGATCGTTCAGCAGAGACTACAACTACATGAATAAAATAAATAACAGAAAGAAAAAAGTAGCAGCAGGATACAGATTGGTGCTTCCACAGGGAAAATAATTAGATAAATAAATCAGTATTTCCAAAGGGAACAGGATCCAAAGCAGCTCAGCCCTGAATTATTTAATTACTTCTCCCCTTTCCTGTTGCTGCTGGGGGAAGTTGCAGGACGCCAGGTAAAGCAGGAGCTCTGCCCACACAAACTCTCCAGGGCAAGGACTGCTCCAGCACCACACTTCCCATCCGAAGAGCTAAGCAAACCACGGAGGGCACAGCTCCAGGCACAGAAGCTTTGCACTTCTGTGAGCAACTCTCCCGGGGTGCCTAGCACAGTACCCTTCATTGCACTGGAAGGGACATGTTCTTCCATTCACAAATCTGAAAGGAATTTATGCTACAATACTTTATGCAGTTTTCCGCACTTATAAGCAGGAATTACCATGCCAAAATCATTATCAATAGCAACAATTTTCTTCAGGATTAAAGAAAAAGCAATGTTTATAAACACTTGCTAATAGGAAAATCTCAAGTGAGCTTTGTAGAATAAAAGGCATTCAGTAATTCTGTATCTTATTATTTATCAAAATTAAGCTGAGAGTATTTGCCAAGCAGAATGGGAGAATCTTATAAAAGCGTCTTTGGTTCAGTCAAATTGGCTTTATTACAGGAACTGTCACTAGCTTTTTCTCAGCCCTAATGCATACTTAAGTTCCTCTGAGCATTTTGGGTATTTCACTCCATAGCATTTCAGAACTCTTTAGATCTGCTGCTTAAAACTTCACACAGCAGCACCTATAGGCTTAATAATATACCTTGAAGGATTCCAAGAAATGCAACTGCAGCTGAGCTTGCATGAGATTTCATGCTGCAGGGACCACTGACTGAGATTCATCACATCTGGGGCTTCGTAGATCCTTACAACTCCATCTGCTGAACAAGTTGCTAACATAAGACCCATATGCTTGGGAGCAAACTTAACATCTGTAACAGATGTCCGACTGTCCACTAGAGTTGTCCTCTTCACCTGCAAACGAAGAGGGAAATTGTTGAAGGAAATGCTGGCAATTTCCATCAAAAAAAAAAAAACATATTATGAGGAAAGCTAATGGAAGTGTAAGAGCTCTGCTTTATAGGATCACCTAACCGTATGCATTCCGTATACTAGCTCTTCCATCTAAACTAAAGGAAGATCTTTACGAACTAACTTACATGAGAAGTGACAGATCAAGGCACCTGTGACATTCGGTAAGATGAAAAACAAAACAATATAAGCTCTTGTTTTTCCAAATTCTCTCCTCTCTTGTCAATTAGTACAAGTTTGAGATGAAAAACAGAAGTCTCAACTGCCTCCTGCACAGGAATGCTTTTTTTTGTACCCCACAATGGGTGCCAATGGTACCTAAGTTTTCACAGTTATGTATTTTAATTTTATAAAACTTCAGTATACAGTAGGTATTTTAACAACCTAAAGTAAACAACATTTAAAAGACAGAAGAACATGCTGACTGCGATATATACTACTATACATCAAAAATACCTGCAAAATAATCTCTTTAGACCTAGAATTCCCTTTGTAAACGGAATAAGTTGCAGAAACAGAAGTGTCCAGTAACTCAGTATTACGAAAAAATTTTATCTTTAGTCTTCTGCTTAATTCTAGAGATTAAACATTTGAAAACTTCAGTCCATTATAATAAACAAATTAATTATAAAGGAATAGAAAATATGTTTATATGAAAACATATGAAAACTGTAGTTAATACATCAAAGTCTCACCCAGTGACTCTGCCCACGGAGTTTATCGTTTGACTCTCCCACTATTTCTTCCCAAACAGCTGCAGTTCTATCAAAAGAGCAAGAAGCCAGGACCTGCCCAAACTCTGGATGAGCCCACGTCACACGCCACACAGAGCCACTATGCGTCTGCAAGATAAAGCCAAAACATCCTAGACCAGGGAAATATATGTACTGCGTAATTCCAAGCAATCAGCCTTTCTACTGCTGAAAAAAGTAAATTCTAGAAAGTTGTAAGATTATTCCTCTTTCATAAAGCTCAAAGTTACATAGCAACTGCTGAATTTGTTTATTTCTCTAAGCACTGCAAAGTCTCACTTCTATTGGTAATTACTGTAAGTCTATTTCAAGGCTTGTTTTATTTATATAAGTAATATATAAGTGTATTTATTTATCTATTTATTACTGCTTTAAACAATAAGTTCCAACAAATGGTTGCAAGGTAAGATCTTGCCTTGATGCAAAAATTAAAGGATTATTCTCATTTTTCAGCCATTACCATTTTTTTTTAAGTTCCCCTGGACTTTTTCAAAGCATATGCAGAACATTACTCATCTTCTTCATAACAAATTCCTCTTTCACACTCGGTGAAATGAATGCTTCATTTCTAAAGAAAACTCAAAACCTTCAGTTACATTTCCATTTGTAAGGTTTAGTGTTTATATATTCCTATTATATAGATATTAAATGAAAATTAAAAAACTGAATGCCCCAGTTATCCTAATTAAGGTGACAGACTTGTTTTCATATGATGTTTCTTCAGAAATGTTATGAAAAAATACAGACAGCCCAATACTGTAAACATTTACTAGACCAGTCTCTTCCCTTTTTGTAAGGGTTAGAATATGTAAAAAGGAGGCATTCAATGAAAGACACAGACACTGTTTTCCACCTTCCATACTCTTGTTACCAGTACATTTACTGATAACAAATTCTGCCAAGCTAATTAAGTACAAAACTGCATCCAACCTCTGCTTTAAGTGAGAGGTGTTACAGATGTTTCAGAGAAACGCTTTACTGGAACATTAGTTACAAGAAACAAAAGCATTTATACAAGAGCTAAACATATTTTGACAAATCATTAGAGAAGTTATGGTGTAACTATGTAATTATCAATACACACCTTCCAGCTGGCAGTGCAATGCCAATCCCCATTTTCACTTTTGTCCCAGACCTATGGAGAAATCAAAATACAGTCACATAACTTGCATATTGAGCTTACTAGATAGTATTAGAAAAAAAGAGCAGAGCCATTAAAAGCAAGCAAACAAACCCCAAAACAGACCACAAATTATTTTCCTCCTGATTAGATAGACAACTGAACTTCACTCAGTCTCAAGAATACCTTTCCTAGAGGGCCAGGATGAGCATCCATAGGAGGCAGACATCTGCAAACCCACTACACCAGGAGTTGTATTGTTTTTTGTTTTTTCTTCAACAAATTATTTACAGAAAACAAAGTATTACCATTTCCATCACGTCACTTTGATCTTACATTCCACGGCCATGTCAAAATCACTCCACTTTACCATAGCGCTTCCGTGGTCCTCACCACGGCACATGCTCAGAGAGTCCCAAAACCCTTATGTGGCTCCTGGAATTCCCATGGACAGAGCAGGGCAAGAAAAAGAAACTGATCCCAGGGGGTTAACAGATCTTGTTTCTACTACGTCTAACTGAATTATAACCATTCTCTCAAAAATTTATCTCAACTTTACAAAAATCTTCTTTTTGCAACATTTTCAGAGATCATGAAGGAACTCTTGAATCTTGTCAAGGAAAAACGACACCAAGCCCTCGGGAGTTACTCTTTACTTCTCACTCATTCACTACACAACCACGTCAAAATATTACCTATTATATTCCTCTGCCATTCCGGATCTCTAATGCAACCCTGGTTATAATCAATTCACCAGGCCAACTTCACGATAATTTCTCCCTGATTCCTATTCTGCAGGACCCATCTAGGGCAGAGGAGACCTAAAACAGATAGTGAATAACAGATACACTGCTATTCCTGTAGAGTTGTACAATTTTGCAAATTTTCTCTTATACCACTGAACAACACTGCCTGTAAATTTAACTTATCGCATACTATCTTTTAAGTATATTCTCTTCGATTTTACACACTTAATCGAGATCAAAGTTTGTCTTCCTTGCTGGTTTATTTGTTCGCACGGGGTTTCTTTTTTGAAGTGTGAGCGAGGGAAGGGGGGGGTCTGTTTACCTATTTTTCTTCCTCATGTAACTAGACACAGCTATTTACCGAAAAGCACCAAGGCTTTTGCAATCATTTTCCAGATCCGTAAAATATGGGACACGCGCGCGCCCACACACACACACACACACAAAA